ACCTCAGGTGGGGAGGAAGGAGCTGGGGGTGCAGGACTCTGACCACTTACTGACTGTGTGACCACTTACTGGCTTTGGGTAAATCACTTAGACTATCTGAGTCTCAGTTACCTTGTCTGCAAAATGGGAAGAAAAATACCTAACTCAAGGACTATATGACATACAAGATGGGAAACTGCCTGGCACATAGTAGGTCTGCAATGCATCTGTAGGAAGAAACATGATGCACACAATGAAGGAACAAACATTAGAACAGGTGCTAGACCATAAGAGGTAGAAGACTTTAGCAGATTCCACAGAGCCCAAGGAGTCCACGGATAGAGTTCAGCAAGAGAGAGGTCCATGAACTTGGATTTTTAAAAATTACATCCTTGTTTTCACTGCCCTTTAACTCAAATTAAGCATTTCCTTCTATCATGCATGTAAGCAACAAATCACAGCAGTATTAGCAGAAACTGTGACTTTGTCAACAATAGAAATCAGTTATTTTTGTATTGCATTACAATAGCAATATCTTGAAATACTGTTTACACTTGTTCATCACCTCAAAATTGCAATATTTAATAGATGAATTTCTAAATCTTCTATTTAATATGTTTAAAAAGGACTACTTCACAAAATAACTCTTTTGATAATGATTCTATATAATTGGTATCCTCTGTAATCCTAAGTAATTTACTTTTTGTGGTTAAAAATATTTTTCTGAATAGGGGTCCATAGTCTTCATCAGACTGTCAAGGGGACAGTTGGCTAGACGGACATTGGTGCCAGTCCTGCCTTGGCCATTTGCTGCTTTGGGACACTGAGCTTGTTATTTCTCTCAGGGGCACAATCATCCCCACTTGGCTTACCCTACAGGGTTGCTGGGAGGAAAAAATTAATTCTTGGCTGGAAAAGGGCTTTGGAAACTGTTGGCAGCTTCCCAATTTTTCCAAAAGCCAGAGCAGAGTGCTTTCTACCTCACAGCTGAACCCCGTATCTCCAGGAGACCTCACTCCTTTCCACAGGATTCCACCCTTCCTATTTACTCCCCATCTGATATATAAAGAGGCCAAAGTGCACCTCCATTAGAGCATGTCATCCGGTTCTCAGCCTGCAGAGATCCACAGCTCAGGGAAGGAATTTTCTGGAAGATAATAATTTCTTCTCCTTTTCACATTTGACCTTACAGTGACCTTTGAAGACACTACTCCCTCCAAACGTTTTCATTCTCCTTCAGATAGCCATCCCTCTGTGACCATGGTCCCTACAATTCCCCTTTCACTGCTCTGTCCTATGATCGTCTGTCTGACTCCCCCATGATGCCGTGACCCAGATCTGACCTCTCTCAGGAGTCCTAGTGCCCAAGTCAAGGGCATGGTACCTATCAGCATCTGAGGAGCTAGCCTGGATGAAAAAAAGGAACTTGAAGCACAGAGGAAAAAAAGCAGAGAAGCAGTAGAGCTAGAGCTTGGGCCCCGATCCCCTAAGGCCCATGAGTTATCCCATATACACTGAAAGCAAGGGATGGAGGAACTAGAAAGTCTCAAAGCATCACATTAACTGTTTCCTACTCTACCCATTGCTGTGAAAAATGACAGCTAAAGATTATGCAGTCTTGAGTTAGTCCCTGCCCATCTGTCCAATGGGAATGTCAGATTCAGTGGCTTTCAAACCTTTTTGACCTGGACTCAAAAAAAGAAACAGATTTCACATCATGATCTGGTCCACAATACATACAGATATATGTAACTGGAAAAACATTTAATGAAAGAATACTCGGCTTTACAGTGCTAAGTATTTGCAGTGTACTTTTTCTATTCTAGTCTATTTATTTTTTAATGCTAGCTGTAACTCAACTGATTACATGACCCACAGGTCCTTTTCAGCCCCAGCACCCTGATTGGCTGAATGGGAATTATTGGCAACTAAAGTTCAGCACTCCCTAGTCCTGGCTCAGAGTAACTGGCCCAAACTGCACCTCTCAGAGCCTGAGTTTCCCAGTGTATCAGAGATATATAGATATGCAATCTCCAAAGACTCCATACAACTACTTCAGGCTGTGGTCCTGAGAACACTCACCTTGTGACCTGAAATAATGTCTGAGAATGGAAAAGTGTACTGGCTTTGCTTCCTGGTGGATGGAATTACCATCTGGACACCCACTAGCCCTCTTGTCCCAGGCCAGTGTGGCAGGGAGTGAAAATGGGAGTGTGAACATGTCAGTGCATGAGCTAGCTGCTCAGGGAAAGGAAGTGGCAGGCAAGGAAGCTAGAAGATGAGAACAGGAAAAGTCACTGGAAAAGAGGAGGTGTGAGAGCCCCAGAGAGAGTAAGGGCTTGGGAACAAGACAGACCCAGGTTGAAATCCCATGGGGTTAAGAGCTCACGGAAATGACTTTCACCTGACCTTCAGCTCTCTTTTATTTAAAAAAAAAAGTTTGAAAATCTCTGGTCCCCTGGGTTGTTGTGAGGGTTAAGCGAGGTCGTATATTAATCATCCCCATACTGACCCTACTGTATGGTCGATGTGCCCCGCACTAGCCTGGAACCTCCATGAGATTCCCAGCGTCTAGCACAGCGCCTAGCACAACGGCTGGTGCTCAGCGCAGGTGTGGAATCCAAGGAGGCGGCTTCGATTCCCGCTCTGCCACCCTGGACATGGGCTGTCTCTCCGAGCACCCAGCGCCCAAGTGCATAAATTGGTAACGTAGTGCAGCCGGTGGGGGCCACGGGCAGAGACGTGCTCCGGGTAGGCTTCCCGGGGCTGCTCCCTCCTCCGGATCTGCGGGTTGCCCCCCGCCCCGGGCTCGGGCGTCGGCTCCCGGCCGCCTCTCCACTCCCACCACTCCTTGGCCCTCCTCCTCCCTCCCTCCCTCCCTCTCCCTGCTCCTTCTCCCCTCCTGCCGAGCCCTGTCCGCGTACCTGGTCGCCTGTCTCGGTCCTCGGGGACTCTCTCTAACCGCTGCATCTCCGCGCCCCTCGCGGGGTTTTTCTCGGTCTCTGCCTCAATCCCTGACTCTCTGCTTATCTCTGCCTCTCTCTCTGTCTCTTTCTCGGGCTCGGTTCTGTCTCCGTCCATCTCTCGCTCGCCCGGCCGCCCGTGCCCTCTCTCGCCGGCCGTCTGGTGGCTCGCGGTGGTGGCGGGCCCGGCGCGGGGCGCGATGAGCGGCGCCTGCACGACCTACGTGAGCGCCGAGCAGGAGGTGGTGCGCGGCTTCAGCTGCCCGCGGCCGGGGGGCGAGGCGGCCGCCGTCTTCTGCTGCGGCTTCCGCGACCACAAGTACTGCTGCGATGACCCGCACAGCTTCTTCCCCTACGAGCACAGCTACATGTGGTGGCTCAGGTACCGGCCCGGCCCTAACCCCACCCAAAGTCCCACTCGAGTCTTAGCCCCCTTGCCCCATCCTCGGCCCAAATGCGTGCTAAACCCTCAATCCTCATACCCACCCCGTCAGGGCCAACCCCCACCCAGCCTGTATCCCTTCAGGCCCAATACTGACCTTTGCTCTCCCCCTGTCTCCAACCCAGCTCCCTGTGCAGATGCTCCTCAGCTCCATCCCCCTATCCTAACCCAACAATTATTAAGGTCCATCTTGAACCACCCGCCCCAGCTCCACCCTGGAAAACCTTCACTTCAGCCCCACCCCAAACATCCTCATCCACCACCCTCAGCCCGACCTCAAATTACACAATAACCCTCACCCTAACAGCAAACTCCCACCTTGCAAAGGTTCACCAGATACCCAAACTCCTCCCTTATCCAAGTGCTGACCAGGGTCCCCTTCATAATATCATCTACCGCATCCCTGACCTTACCCACTCCCCAATACTGATCTCTATCACCAGCCCTAACCTCCTCCCTCCTCAGATCCTCCCTGCAACCCAACCTCAGCTCTCCTCCCCCACCCTGACTCCAAACATTACCTAGACCTACAGTCAAACCTCACCTGGAGCCTTAATACCTCATCTGATGCTACACCCCAACTCAGCCTCAGCCTCTGCCCAACCTCAACTCTTTTCTCCCCCCTCATATTTAGTCATTCTTTCAATCATCACCCCTTCCTGAGCACTTGGCCAGGCCCTGTGGTAAGTTCTGGGATGTACCCCACTCCCAAGCCAAAGCAGAAACCAAGGATTCCAAGTTGCCTCCAAGTTTATCATGAGATAATGACAATGCCATAGCAGGAGCCAGATCAGCGTAATTTGGGTGAATCCCTATCCACAGGACCTCAGTTTCCCCACTAGTTCAGGGAAGGAGGTGGTTAGACCAGTGCTGGCATTCCTGGAACTTGTGGGGGGCTGAGAGGGCAAGCGATCTCAATTTCTCTGGGTCCCTAAAGGCCTCACCCAGAAAATAGGACCTGATCCTGAGGCTGCACTGGGAAACAGGCATCGACAAAAATGGAGTGGGCCATCTCAGTAGACAGTGATCTTCCTGTCCCCGGAGGTATGTGACCAGCAGCTGCATGCTCTCTGGGCAGGAAAGGACAGTCTGCCTCTAAAACCTCTCTGAGCCTCTGTCCTTTCATCAAATGGGGAGGATGATTTCTGACTAGGGCAAGGACCAAATGAGATCAAGAGGTAATATCAACTTGGCATATACCACTAACAATTACAGTTATTGCTTTTCTAGACTGCTCAGTCTGTAACTCCAAAGGATTTTCAGATGGCCAGGTTTTCAGATCCTGCACATTCAGCTGCTGTCACCTGGGGAATTATATTATTCTCTGTTCATCCATATTTTCATTCATTCAATATAGCCTTTGTTTTGTGCCAGAGGCTATGCTAGGTACTAGAGACACAAAATCAATTATTCCCTCTCTGAGAAACTCACAGTCCATTCAAAGAGATACAACATGCATCTGAAGTATAACAATGGAGTATCTGTTGAAGAACCACTGTGTACTTAGCACTGAGCTGAGTGCTGAAATATGATAGTGCTGACCTCCCTTTGAAGTATGGAAACAGTGTGGAGCCTTGGGGCTAGTTAGAACCCTGTCCTAACGTTGGCTCTGTCACTTATTAACTACGTAAACTTGGGCAAATTATCTCTGAGTCTCTTTTGTCATCTTTAGAATGGCAGTAATGATACCTGTCTTATGGAATTGTTGTGAAGATTAAGTGAAATAATGCATGTGAAAGTGACTAGTGCATATAGTAGGTGCTCAATGAAAGGGAGTTCCCTTTCCCTGGTTTGTCAGTGGGGAAATTGAAACTCAGTATGAAAGTGAATTGTCCAAGATTTTCCAGCAATGGTATACTGAGATTTAAAGAACATTACCTAGCACCATCCAAAAGCTAGATGCATTCACACATCTGCAACCCTGGCATATCTTCTCTCCATTTTACAGATGAGAAAACTTAAAAGAGGTTAATTTTCTATCTGAGAGTGCCCCAGTGAGAGGAAGTGGCACAGCTGGGATGAAAACTCAGGCCTGTCTGGTCCCAAGTCCAGGCTTGACCTGCTGGACAACTAGCTTACTATAACCTACTCTACTAAGATCACTTGAAAAACTACTCACTGACCCTCTGCTGTCTTCTGAGCACTATGCTAGCCCCTGGGGGAACAGAGATAAGTAAATCCCTCAGCACCCAGCCAGGACCCCATCCTTCCACTACCACCCCTATCCCTACACACCTCTTATGGTCCCTCTACCTTGCCTTGGACCCTCTTGAGGTATGGAGTGCTTTACTGCCTCAGACAATGAGGTAGAGGGTTGGATGGGGTGACCTCTGAGGTTACATCACATGTCAGTGTGCTTCCATTCTGTGACCCCAAGGGAAGCTGAAAGGTTCTAGCCTGCAGGGCTGACTCTTCCTAGGCTTGGATATAAGTGGTTCATAAACATCACAGACAGTTGCCAAGTGGAGGAGGGGAACCAGGGTCCTCAACACATCTAGGTGATCAGTGTCCTCCAAACCCTGAAACAACCCTCCTAGTATGTTTCTGTCAGAGCCCCACCATTGCAGAGTGGAGACCTTGTTTTGTGCTGGACTCCATTTGGCCCTGTTCATGAAAGCTAGCCCTTATAAACATAAAAACCTGCAGGTAAACACTGTTTCCCTGGATAGTGCTCAAGGAGAATTGCTGTCTTTAAAAGCATGTCTCAGGAAATGAAGACTCCCTGTGGAGAAGCAGCTGGTGCTATCACACATCTGATCCACTTTCCAGACACCTTCTATCAGTAGTTCTGTTTTTCATCAGGATGTGAGCAAAAAGGCAGCAGCCTTGCTGGAGGGTAGACCTGGCAGCCAGGCACTACCTCTATCTCATTTAATCTTTATGGACACCTGATGAGATAAGAGCTTTTATGAATGAAGAAAATGAAGATCAAAAGGTAAAGAATTTTTCAGCTTATATGTTCAAACTTAGAACTGCCTGACTCAAAATCCCTAACAAATGTTAGACCACCCCTCCAGTCCTTTCCTGGAAGTCACAGTGGATTATCTATCTTTCAGTCATAGAGCTGGGAAATCCTGGAAGGCTAGCAGCTCTTTAATCCTATTTCCCACGCTGGGCAGGAATCTCTAATCTCTGAAAGGTGTACTCATCCAGGTGTTCTGTGCAAACCTATCCAATAATAGGAAACTTGCCACCTCTTGAGGCAGTACACATAGGACAACGCTGATCATTTAAAGTTCATCTCATACTAAGAACAGATTTTCCCTGTTGGGCCCTCCCCTGTTGTTTCCAGCTCTGTTCTTGGAAGCTGGTTCCTCTGTCTCCAGACAGACCATCAGAGACACTGCCCACTCCCTGACTAACTGATGATCTGGACTATATCCCCCTAGTCGTCTCACCCACTCCTCAAAGGATCCTACTTTTTGAGGGCCCTTTCCTTCCAGGTGTCCCTTGTGAAGGGTGGGGCCCCAACCTAAGCACAAGTCTCCCAGGTAACAGCCTTATAAACAGTAAGGATATCTCAAAAAAGAAAATAATACTTCACTAAAACACTTACAAGAACTAAAAAGTACTACATACTCAATGTGGAAAATGTGGAAAGGAGAGGAGAAACAAAAAAAGGAAAGAGATCATGGGCGATCCAGTATGCTAGCTTGGGTTCCCCAGAAGATGAGGATTTGAGGGCAAGTAGTTTATATGACAAGCGATCCTAGAAAACACTAGTAGAGGGTGGGGGAGTGAGACAGGAAAGGGAAGGAGCTAACTAACGATGGTGTGTTACCAAGCGAGTCACCACTGAGGGTCCCCAGAGCTCAAACCTGCTGAACTCTGCTAGCCAGTGTAGAACATACACCTCAGAGTCATCTCACCAGAGGGCCAGGAAGCTGGGGATTCACATACCAGTTTCTGTCAGCCATTGGCTGTGTGCTAGTGGGAGAAGAGAGGCATTAATTTTCCTGCATTTCTGACCTAAACAATGTGCAGAGACTGTTCTAGCCCCAAGAAATTCCGGGGAAGAAGATACAGATGCTGGCATTTGAAACCCTGGTCAGAATATTCCACAATTCTAAGACCTAATGGGACACAGACAGGACATCTACAGCCTCTGGTACACCCAGAGACAGCCTGTTACCGTTAGCATTTTAGTGTATTTCCACCCAACCTTACCCATGCTGTGTTATGTATGTATATGTTATGTTTATTTATTAAAGTTAGGGTTACGCTATATATATAGTAATGTGTCCTGCTTTTTTCACTTAGCAGCTCATTAGAATGTATCCTTGATCTTAAATATTATTTGAAAACATGTTTTTAATGGCTCTATACTATTACATCGCAGGAGTATCCAATAATTTATTTAGCCATTGGAAAACAGACTCTCCAAAGCTCTAAGGTGTTTCTGTTTGGCGTAAATTAACCATCAGTTAGTTGGGAGTGAAATGGCAGAAATGGCAAGGGCAGGAATCTGGGGTTGGGGTCAGGGTTGAGGGGTGGGCAGAAAAGCTGTAGGAATCAAAGGCAGAAAAGTCACGCAAACAAACCTGGTGCTACCTATCTCCTACTGTTAGGAGAACATCCCACAGTGTCTGACACAAAGCAGCTACTCAATAATTACTAACTGCCTACTACGTGCCAGCACCTGTACAAGGAGAGAATAAAGCCAGTTAAACATGGTCTGAGTCTGCCTTCAAGGAACACACGAGGAATATGTTGAATACCTATTATGTGCCAAGAATATTATACAGATCATTCATCCTCACTACCACCTGTGTGGTGCTATGTTTTGATCATTCTCAAGTTTCAGACAAAGAAGCTGAGGCTCAGAGGTTAAATAATTTCATCAAGATCTCACATCAAATTAGTTAACAGACCTGGGTCCTAAACCAGGAAGGTCTGTAAGAGTTCCAAAGCTCTTTGCTCTTTCCTTACCATGCTGGCTGCCTGACCCAGTGGGGAACCCTAGAGGCCCTGAGTAAGGTGTCTGGCTGGGTTAGCCTAGCACGGGAGAAGAAAGGAGAGAGAAAGATGACCAGGGAAAACACTGAGGAGGAGACATTTGAAATGGGCCTTCAAGGACAGGAAAAATTCTGATGTGGGGAGAGGATGGTAGAGATCACGTGAAACGGGAAAGACAGTGGCCTCGAGAAAAGGCCAGGAGGTAGTTATCTGGAGACCGGGTGACGATGACTGAGGCCTGACCTGGGGCAGAGGCAGTGAGGTTGGAGACAGAGGGACCAGCAGCAGGGAGTGTTGTAGACGTGGAGTCCACACTAGAGTGATGACCCGCTAGAGGCTGGGTCAGAAATTACCTTGAGGCTGGAAGGACAGCTGGTGTTTAAGGCCCACCATATGTCTTGATTTTTAAGAAACAGCAGTGTGGGGAGGGCTCTTTAAGATCATCTCCAGCTTCCCCAGGTGGAAGCAGGTTGAGGAAAGGAGAGGAGAAGAGAGGGAACACACATGGAGTCCCAGCTACCTGGTGGCACGGAGCCATGTCAAGTCATGTATGTGGTGAGTACCTGCCACATAGTTGATGCTCTTTCCTGTGCTTAGACCCAGAAAGCCTGCTTAGGGCAAGTAGAGACAGAACAGAAGTTCAAGTCGGCTGATTCCTCTAACTCCTACAATACTTCTCCTACAACATGCTGCTTCCCAAGTCCTTTTCTGACCCTGTTCCCTTACGGTCTTCTCTCCCCAGTATTGGCGCTCTTGTGGGCCTGTCCATAGCAGCCGTGGTCCTCCTGGCCTTCATTGTCACCGCCTGTGTGCTCTGTTACCTGTTCATCAGCTCAAAACCCCACACAAAGTTGGACCCAGGCTTAAGCTTACAAACTACAGGTAAGAAAGAGGTCACATGATTTCCTTTTATTCAGCAGGCTAGCACCCTTGCAGAGGGGAGATATTTAGTAATGATGTTTGGAACATTTGCCTCATGAGTGTTCCTGGAATATTCAGAAGCAGGAGCACGTTTCTCAGGAAGTTCACGACATGAACATTTCTATCCCAAACTCTTCATGTGCTCATTCAAAATAATTCAATATAGTCAGCATTCTATTTGTTACATGAAGATGTTATTAAATATCCTACAATACAGAGGACAGCACCCTGCATAGAGAATGATCTGACCCAGAATGTCAATAGTGCTGATGCTGAGAAACCCTAGAATAGAAAGAGTCCAGAAACAGATTGATTTAAATGGGGTAACATTAATAAAATGTTTAATTTTAAAAATAAGGGAAATGTTGGCAAATTTGCCTACATCAAATACAAAAAGATATCAAATACAAATAATACAAAAGACACCATACATAAAGGTAAAAAAACCAGTAGTGGACTGCAAAGATATTAGAAATACAAATACATACACACAGTCAATCCTCATTATTCATAGATTCCATATTTGTGAATTCGCCTACTTGATAGAATTAATTTGTAACCTCAAAAATCAATACCTGCAGTGTTTTTAGGTCATCTGCAGATATGGATGTGCACAGAGCAACAAAAAATGTGAGCTGCCTTGTCACACACATTCCCAGCTGAGGCTGAACAAGGCCATGCTCTGCCTCCTTATTGCAGCTCTTATATTGTAAACAAGTGTCCTTTCCGTGGTATATTTAGTGCCATGTTTTTGCATTTTTATGATTTATGTTGGTGATTTCACTGTTGAAAATGACGCCCAAATTTAGTGCTGAAATGCTGCCTAGTAGTCCTTAGTACAAGAAGGCTGTCATGCGCCTTATGTAGAAAGTACATTTTTAGATAAACTTTGTTCAGGCAAGAGTTATAGTGCTGTTGGCCATGAGTTGAATGTTAATGAATTAACAGTGTATGTTAAATAAGGTGTCTTTAATAAGAAACACGCAGAGAATGAAGTTATGTAACGATCAGCTGACAAAAATGTTGTAGCGAGAGAGTCACAGGAACCTGACTTTGTACTTCTCCTAGGTGCAATGATTCAGTATTCGCTAATTCAGTGTTCGTGGCAACTTTATAGAACATAACTACTACAAATAATGAGAATTTACTATCATATATAAAATAGAGACAGGATTGATATCCAGAATATATAGGCACATCTTTGAACAAATGAGAAAAACATAATCCTCTGGACGATACAAATGCCCAACACTCATGAAAAGATGCTCAACTTACTAATAATCAGGAGAATGCAATTTAAGAACGACATACCTTTTTTTAAAAAAAAAACAATTACATTGGCAAAAGTCCAAAAACAGATCACATTAATAGTGAGAAGTTTGGGTGGAAGGAATGGATTCTCTCTCAGATACTGCTGGTAAGAGCATAAGTCTACAACCACTTTGTAGAGCAATTTGGCGATACCTATTTAAACTAAAAATGTATATACCCTATAACTCAGCAATTCCACTTCTAATTATCTGCCCTAGAGATATTGTTGCACTCGGAGAGGACTTGTAAAGATGGATACCGTGACAGCTGGTCACTGGAAACAAACTAAATGCCCATCAGTAGAGGAATAATGAAATATGATACTGCACTTAATAGGAATGAACTAGCTTTAAAGAGACCATATCATTTGCTCTTCACAATAACCAGGAAGAGTATAGATCTTATTAGTATCCATTTTACAGATGAAGAAACTGAGGCCTAAGGTGCCTACTGAGTAAGTGACAGAGCCAAATCCACTTCCACCTTCCTTCTTCTCCCTATCCCTGTGCTGAGAAAGGGAAGTTCCTACTATATGCTAGACACTGTTTGAAACTTTACATGCACTAACCTCATCTAATTTTCCCAACTGCCTCAGTGAGGTAGGTGTTACTATCACCCATTTTACAGATGTGAAAACCAGATCTCAGAGAGGCGCACAATTTGTAAACTGCAGAGCAGGAATTCAAATCTGTATTTTTCTGCCTCCAAAGTCCTACTATTTCTCCTTCACCAGGCCAGGTCTGTGGGTGCATCTGCTTGTGCTCTGCTCCCCTCGTCTCTCCCCACCCCAGCCCTGCAGCCGTTCTAACTCAAGGGAACACAGTTCATCTGCTGGCCCTGTGCATGCAAAGTATCCTCCTGCTTTCCACTGCCCAGCCACCAGCTGTATTATTCAGTCAACAGGGTTTGAGACAATTTCTTGCTTTTTGCTTCTTATTTTTAGGATGGAAAATGCATTTCCTGACTCTTTATTAAATGATAGCTTTCAGTTCTCTCTGCCTTTTGCCTAAACTCAGCTCTGAGTTCCCCTTTCTTCTTCATTTAGTGCTATCCTCTCCTTCCTGTGAACCCACAGCCTCAACCCAGGAGCCTCTTGTCCCTCTTGCACCTGAGACAGTTTATAGGCCCACTCTCTTACATTCATCAGAGCTTTCCTTTTGACACAGACTTTCATATGTTTGTCTCTCTCTCCAGTAGGACATGCAGAGAGATCATCAACCCCATTTTACAGGAGAGGAAACCAAGGCTCAGCCAAGGGAAGTGAACTGGCCAAGTCTACACAGCTAGTGAGCATGTGCTGCTAGGATGTTAACCCCCATCTCCCAACTAGGTCTAAAGCCTAGACCATGGCACTGCACCTTCAGTCCTGATCTCTGAGTCTGGGGGCAAGGGGCAGTGGGGAGTGCCTTGGCAAGAGCAGAGTGGAAATCGTACAGAGTTCCTGCTAACAGGCTCCTTCTGCTGCCCAGGCTTTCTGTACTGTCCCATCACCCTACCCCATCCCATCCTCCAAACTTGGGACGCCACGAAGACCATAACTTTCTTGCTCTGGTACTTTGTGAGGAACTTGGTGAGAAGGCCGACCAAGTTCCTGCTTTTGTGCTAGGCACTACACTATAGCCTTTAAACATATTATCCCATTTAACCTGTTCAACTACCCTACCAGGTGGTTATTATCAATCCTATTTTGCAGATGAGATGAATAAGTATGGAGTTGATATTTCAACCTAAGTACGTTTAATAAGAGATTAAAAAATGAGGGAAATTAAAGACGAAACTTCTCATCCTCTTCTGAAAAGTGTTGATGGGGAGATGGTTAATCAGCCATTCTCACTGACTCATAGGGTTCCTAGAAATCAAGTCTGATGTTCTCATTGTATAGATGGGGAGCTGAGGCCCAGAAAGGGACAGTTATGTGTCCACAGTCATCCAGCCAATTGGCCAAGCCTTTGCCTCCTGGGCCAGAGATCCTTCCTTGCGGCGGCCCCTCTCATCTTCCAGGAAGGGTTCCATTTCCTCAGCCCCCACTGCTTTTTAATTAACTGCACTTGGGGAGGTGGTAGCTATGACCCAACAAGCCTTAGTGATGAGTCAGTCTTGACTCATCTCCAATGTGAGAACTGCTTTCCTAGCTGTTCATGACAGGCTAAGACCTCAGGCAAGACCGACTGGCCAAAAGATTCCTGGAGAAAGTTGAGAAGGCACAACCCTGGGCTGGGATGTCAGAGAACCTGGCTCTAATCCTGGCTTTGTCACTCTCATTGTGTGGCGTTAGGCAAGTCACTTATCTCTGGGCCTCAATTTACTCTGTAAAATGTGTACAGTAATACCAAGAAAGCTGTAAAAACTAGGGGTGATGCCTACATAGGAGCTAATTAATCTCTGATACATGGTAGGGCTTTTAACATTTTTTTTATTATAAGGCATTTGGATTTTTACATATTAGTCTCCTCAAAGAGTCTGTTAATATCTCAAAGATGGGAACCATGTCTTAAATGCTTTTGTATCCCAGCACCTAGCATAGTTCCTCACCTATACTAAGGCTATGCTTGCCCTGTGGAAAGAGTCTAAGCTTTGGAATCAAGCAGAATGGAAAGTGTATCCTGGATGCCATATGTAATAGCTGTGTCAATGTTGACTTTCTCTGTCCAGGCCTCAGTTACTTATCTATAACGTGGAATAATAACACCCACTTCAGAGCGTTGTTGGGAGACTCAGATAAGATTGTTGTACCAGCACGTTTTAGCCAGACGTGAATCTTCTTATTGTAACTTGAAATTTGAACTTTTTGTACTTGCCTTTAGGCTTTCTCCTCTCCCACGTGCCTCTTGGCTAGCACCTTTATAAGATGGAATCCCTTGCTCCAGGCTTCAGGCACCACTGAGAGACTTTAATAACTTTCATTACATATTAGTCAGAGGAAGAGGCAGAAATATGTGTATTCAAGAGGTGGACCACTGACTATTCTGCTGGTTTCCCTAGAAGACTAGGATTGTAGAATGGAAGGCCCTGGGATACACATGTGAGGGAATCCCTGGGATCTGGGGAAGAGAATCATGTGCAAAAGACATGATGGGTCCACAAGTTCCGTATGAAGCAACACTGTGATGTGTCTGCCAAAAAAAAAAAAATGGTGAGTAGAATCTCAGGTTACATTAACAGAATTATACAGAGTCTGGGGAGCAAGAGAATGATGGCCTTTCTTTACTCCCAATTGAATGGAACACAGCAGCCATCACATCTCAGAGGTAACATTTTAGCATCCACCCCACAGGTTCCCAAATTGATTAGGATCTGTAGTTTAGTTAGTCGTACTGTATCCATGTCAGTCTCCTAGTGTTGAAATTATTCCATGGTTGTGTAAGATGTGATCATCGGGAAAAGCGAGGTGAAGGGAACAGCAGAACTCTCTGTACCATTTTTGTAACTTCTTGTGAGTCAATTTATTTAAAAATAGAAAGTACAAAACAAAACAAAAAAGGAAATGTATTGGCTCTGTAGGTGAGAAGTCCAAAAGTAGAGTGAGCTAGAAGGAATGGTTTGAACAGAAGCTCACAATGTCCTCAGACTTGTGGCTCCATCCTCTGAGATTCTCTAAGCTCTGCCGTCTATCTTGTATTGGCTTTCTCCTCAGACTGATTTTCACCATAGTAGTAAGCTGGCTGCCAGCAGTCCCTGGGACTGTGTGCTTTTTGTTCCCACCTAGCCAGGAAGAGAAAGAAGCCTGAGCTCTATTCTGCTTGGACCGCCTCAAGTCATGTGCCCTAAACCAACACTGTATCCACGGAAATGCTGTGCACTGCTTGCCCATCCCTGTAGCAAAGGAACAGAA